ATAGTGAATTTCAGGCTATCCCACCTCTTGAGAGGTGGGATAGCCTAAAAAACTTACTATTTTCTTAATATCTCAAAAATAGATTTTTACAAAATAGTAAGCAGTTATGATGTTGACATATCCTTAACCGAATTTACCTGAGGTAGATGCAATTAGGAAAGCAGCATAGGTAAATACATAACCTACAGAGAAATGAGCTAATCCTACTAATCTAGCTTGCACAATAGAAAGAGCTACTGGTTTATCTTTCCAACGCACAAGATTAGCTAATGGAGTACGTTCATGAGCCCAAGCTAATGTCTCGATCAATTCTTGCCAATAACCACGCCAAGAGATCAAGAACATGAAACCTGTAGCCCAAACAAGGTGTCCAAATAAGAACATCCAAGCCCATACAGACAAACTGTTCATACCGAATGGGTTGTATCCATTAATTAACTGAGATGAGTTTAACCATAGATAATCTCTAAGCCAGCCCATTAAGTAAGTAGAAGATTCATTAAATTGCGCTGCATTACCTTGCCATAAAGCTAAGTGTTTCCAATGCCAGTAGAAGGTTACCCATCCAATAGTATTTAACATCCAGAAAACAGCTAGATAAACAGCATCATAAGCAGAAATATCGCAAGTTCCACCTCTACCTGGACCGTCACAAGGGAAGCTGAATCCAAATTCCTTTTTGTCAGGCATTAATTTAGATCCACGAGCATCTAAAGCACCTTTCACAAGAATCAAGGTTGTTGTATGCAAACCTAGAGCAATTGCATGGTGTACTAAGAAATCCCCTGGGCCAATAGTCAAGAATAAAGAATTACTATTGTTATTAATAGCATCTAACCACCCTGGTAACCATAGACTTTTTCCTGCAGTAATAGTAATGCTAGAACTGGAAGAAAGTAATACATCAAATCCATATAAAGCCTTACCATGAGTAGATTGAATCCACTGAGCAAAAACAGGTTCAATTAGGATTTGTTTTTCTGGAGTACCAAAAGCCAGTACAACATCATTATGTACGTATAGACCAAGTGTATGGAAGCCCAAGAATAAGCTAGCCCAACTTAGGTGAGAAATAATAGCTTCTTTGTGTTCCAACATTCTAGCCAATACATTTCCTTTGTTTTGCTCTGGATTGTAATCTCTGATAAAGAAAATTGCACCATGAGCAAAAGCTCCTGTCATGATGAAGCCAGCAATATACTGATGGTGAGTATAAAGTGCTGCTTGAGTAGTAAAATCTTGAGCTATGAATGCATAAGAAGGTAAGGAATAGCTGTGCTGAGCTACCAAAGAAGTGATAACACCTAAACACGCTAATGCTAATCCTAATTGGAAATGAAGAGAATTATTCACTGTGTCAAATAGGCCTTGGTGACCGCCGCCCATACGACCGCTTGGAGCAATATGTGCTTCCATAATCTCTTTCATACTATGTCCAATTCCAAAGTTGGTACGATACATATGTCCAGCAACGATGAATATTACAGCAATTGCTAGATGGTGATGAGCTATATCGCTTAACCAAAGACTTTGTGTCTGTGGATGAAAACCGCCTAAGAAAGTTAAGATAGCAGTACCAGCTCCTTCTGAAGTACCAAAGATATGGCTGCTAGAATCTGGATTTTGTGCATAAACACCCCATTGGCCAGCAAAGAAAGGTGCTAAACCTTGTGGATGTGGAGCAGTAGTTAAGAAATTATCCCATCCTACATGCTGTCCTCTAGATTCAGGAATAGCTACGTGTACGATATGTCCAGCCCAAGCCAAAGAACTGGTTCCAAATAAACCAGCTAAATGGTGGTTTAAACGAGACTCAGCATTTTTGAACCAAGAAACACTAGGTTTCCACTTAGGTTGTAGATGTAACCATCCACCTACTAAAGAAACAGCAGCTAATCCTAATAGGAAAAGTGCTCCTGTGTAAAGATCTTGGTTAGAACGTAGACCTTGAGTATACCACCATTGATATACACCGGAATAGGAAATATTTACAGGACCAGAAGCGCCTCCTCGAGTATAAGCTTCTACTGCTGGTTGTCCAAAATGAGGATCCCAAATTGCATGTGCGATAGGACGAACATGCAAAGGATCTTGAGACCACGCTTCAAAATTGCCCTGCCATGCTACGTGAAACAAATTCCCAGAGGTCCACAAGAAGATAATTGCTAACTGACCAAAATGAGAAGCAAAAATCTTCTGATAAAGCCGTTCTTCGGTGATATCATCATGACTTTCGAAGTCGTGTGCAGTAGCAATTCCAAACCAAATACGGCGAGTGGTTGGGTCTTGGGATAGGCCCTGGCTAAATTTTGGAAATCTTGATGCCATAATGCTTTAAAACCCTCCTAGCCATTATCCTACTGAAATAATTCTTGCTAGGAAGAATGCCCATGTTGTGGCAATCCCACCCAGAAGGTAATGAGCTACTCCTACAGCACGCCCTTGAGTAATACTAAGAGCTCGAGGCTGGATAGCAGGAGCAACTTTAAGCTTATTATGAGCCCATAGAATGGATTCAATTAGTTCTTGCCAATAACCACGGCCACTAAACAAGAACATCAAGCTAAATGCCCATACGAAGTGAGCACCTAAGAAAACTAAACCATATGCAGATAAAGCAGATCCATAAGATTGAATTACTTGAGATGCTTGTGCCCATAAGAAATCACGCAACCATCCATTAATGGTAGTTGCACTTTGAGCAAAGTTCCCTCCAGTAATATGAGATACTCCTTGAGCATTTACAGTTCCCCATACATCTGATTGCATCTTCCAACTAAAATGGAAAATTACTACAGAAATAGAGTTATACATCCAGAATAGACCCAAGAATACATGGTCCCAAGCAGAAACTTGGCAAGTACCACCACGTCCTGGACCATCACAAGGGAAGCGGAAGCCTAAATTAGCTTTATCTGGGATTAGTCGAGAACTACGAGCAAATAATACACCCTTCAAAAGAATCAAAACAGTAACGTGAATAGTAAATGCATGAATATGGTGCACTAGGAAATCAGCTGTTCCTAATGGAATAGGAGACATTGCTACTTTCCCACCTACTGCTACTAATTCACTACCACCCCAAGTGATACTGCTAGCGGCAGCTGCATTAGGTGCTGTGAAACCAGGTGCTGCAGCGTTAGTATTTTGAACCCATTGAGCAAACACAGGCTGAAGTTGAATAGCTGTGTCAGAGAACATATCTTGAGGACGACCTAAGGCACTCATAGTATCGTTATGAATATACAAACCAAAACTATGGAATCCTAGGAAGATACATACCCAGTTAAGATGAGAAATAATTGCATCTCTATGACGTAGAACACGATCTAATAGATTGTTATACTGAGTAGTTGGATCGTAATCTCTTACCAAATAGATAGCTGCATGAGCACCAGCCCCTACAACGCAGAATCCACCAATCCACATGTGGTGTGTGAATAAGGATAACTGAGTACCATAATCAGTTGCTAAATATGGGTAAGGAGGCATAGCATACATATGATGTGCTATGATAATTGTTAAAGATCCAAAAGTAGCTAAGTTTAATGCTAATTGAGCATGCCAAGAAGTGGTCAAAATTTCATAAAGTCCTTTGTGACCTTCACCAGTCATAGGCCCTTTGTGAGCTTCTAACATTTCTTTCATGCTATGACCAATTCCCCAGTTAGTTCTATACATATGTCCTGCTACTAGGAAAAGGACTGCAATTGCTACGTGGTGGTGAACTGTATCAGTTAACCATAAACCTCCTGTAACTGGATTTAGACCGCCACGGAAAGTTAAGAAATCAGAATACTCTGCCCAGTTTAAGGTAAAGAAAGGAGTTACACCTTTCGCAAAGCTAGGATATAACTGAGCTAATAAGTCTCTGTTAAATATAAATTCGTGAGGCAAAGGAATTTCTTTAGGGTCAACTCCTGCATCTAACAATTGGTTGATAGGCAAAGATACATGAATTTGGTGTCCAGCCCAACCCAAAGATCCTAAGCCTATTAGACCGCCTAAATGGTGGTTCATCATAGATTCTGCATCTTGGAACCAAGCCAATTTAGGTGCAGCTTTATGATAATGGAACCAACCAGCGATAAACATTAAGCCTGCCATTAATAAACCACCAATTGCAGTGGAATATAACTCTAGTTCAGTAGTGATTCCAGAAGAACGCCACATTTGGAATAAACCAGAGGTAATTTGAACTCCCTGGAATCCACCACCTACGTCGCCGTTCAAAATTTCTTGACCTACAATTGGCCAAACAACTTGAGCACTAGGTTTGATGTGGGTTGGATCACTTAACCATGCTTCATAATTGGAAAAGCGTGCACCATGAAAATACATTCCGCTTAACCAAATGAATATGACAGCTAATTGACCAAAGTGTGCACTAAAAACCTTACGAGAAATTTCTTCTAGATCACTAGTGTGGCTATCAAAATCGTGAACATCAGCATGCAGGTTCCAAATCCAAGTGGTTGTAGTAGGACCTTTTGCTAACGCACGAGAGAAATGACCTGGCTTAGCCCATTTTTCAAAAGAGGTTTTTACAGGATCATTGTCTACCACAATCTTGACTTCTGGTTCCGGTGAACGAATAGTCATTGAGATTCTCCTCTCTTCAGACGAGACAAAGGAAACACCTGCCCAAAATCATGAATCAGCTTCTGAGAGGGTAATATTTTAGAATTGCTACCCACTTTATTAAGTCTGTAACTAGAACAACTATGATACAGAAGTGACCCAGGACAGACTCCTAAATATATTATGACACACATTTAAGGTGCTTAATGGACCAATACATAAATAAGTGAAAGTTAGGAATTTAACCTGTATATTTACTAGGCAAGTAATAAAAAATGCGAAGTGAAGCAAATAATGGAAACTTTGCTATATTTTATATATTTTTATTTTATATCAAACATAAAGGACATTCTGATCAATTTGTTCGCCATACAACATACAAAAAAGAGAAAATATAGCAAACTACAACCGTGCGCAGGATTCCTGCGCACAGTTGTTATATATGCAGCTTGCCTCTAAAACAAGATTGTTTAGCCAACGAAAGGAGCTTCAACAGATGCTAAGTCTAGAGGGAAGTTGTGAGCGTTACGCTCGTGCATAACTTCCATACCTAGGTTAGCACGGTTGATGATATCAGCCCAAGTGTTGATTACACGACCTTGGCTATCAACTACGGATTGGTTGAAGTTGAAACCGTTTAGGTTGAATGCCATAGTACTGATACCTAAAGCAGTAAACCAAATACCTACTACAGGCCAAGCAGCCAAGAAGAAGTGTAGAGAACGAGAGTTGTTGAAACTAGCATATTGGAAGATTAGACGTCCAAAGTAGCCGTGAGCTGCAACAATGTTGTAAGTTTCTACTTCTTGACCAAACTTGTAACCAGCGTTAGCAGATTCGTTTTCGGTGGTTTCACGGATCAAGCTGGAGGTAACCAAGGAACCATGCATTGCACTGAATAGAGAGCCGCCGAAAACACCAGCCACACCTAGCATATGGAATGGGTGCATAAGGATGTTGTGCTCAGCTTGGAATACGATCATGAAGTTGAAAGTACCAGAGATACCTAAAGGCATACCGTCAGAGAAACTTCCTTGTCCGATTGGGTAGATTAGGAATACTGCGGTAGCAGCTGCAACAGGAGCAGAGTATGCAACAGCGATCCAAGGACGCATACCTAGACGGAAGCTAAGTTCCCATTCACGACCCATGTAAGAAGCTACACCTAAAAGGAAGTGAAGAACGATTAGTTGGTAAGGACCACCATTGTATAACCATTCATCAACGGAAGCAGCTTCCCAGATAGGGTAGAAGTGCATACCGATTGCTGCAGAAGTAGGAACGATAGCACCAGAAATGATGTTGTTTCCGTATAGAAGAGAACCAGAAACAGGCTCACGGATACCATCGATATCTACTGGAGGAGCTGCGATGAAACCAATGATGAATACAGAAGTTGCAGTTAGAAGAAGAGGTACCATCAATACGCCGAACCATCCGATGTAAAGACGGTTTTCGGTGCTGGTAATAAAGTCAGAGAAACGACCCCATAGGCTTGCGCTTTCGCGTCTTTCTAAAGTAGCAGTCATGGTAATTATTGGTTAATAAAGTAATAAAATATGACTCAAGCTGCTTATAAGCTTGTTAGTATATATTATTACACAGAGAGTGTCATATGTCAACCTGATTTTTTATTACAACTCTTTTTATCGATGGTATCTCTATACAATGTTCGAAAGAACTTCTTATAATAAAAAGGATTGCAAAATCAAATCCCTATGAAAATATAGACATCATTGATGTCTATGTGTTTATTTGTATAAAAGAATTCGAAAAAACACTTTGGTTTTTTCCAATTTACAGTTACTATAGTATCAGAGTTATGGATAGCAGCAAGGAAACTAGCTGCTTCTACCTATAAATTTTTGAAGAAAAATCAGACCATGCAAAAAAGAGATGCTTGTAAATGGATACGAAGATGGGTGGGGCTATCAATCTCAATCATAGTTATGGCTTTGCCAATGGCTTTGCCATTAAATTCGGAAGCATTTCCGATATTTGCACAGCAAAACTATGAAAGTCCTCGAGAAGCGACTGGACGCATTGTATGTGCTAATTGCCATTTGGCAAAAAAACCGGTGGATATCGAAGTGCCACAAGCAGTTCTTCCCAATACTGTTTTTGAAGCAGTAGTTAAGATTCCGTATGATACCCAAATTAAACAGGTATTAGCCAATGGTAAAAAAGGGAATATCAATGTAGGCGCTGTGGTAATCTTACCGGAAGGCTTTGAATTAGCACCTGAAGATCGTATTCCTCCAGAAATGAAAGAAAAGATTAATAATCTTTACTTCCAAACTTACAGACCCGAGCAGAAAAATATTTTGGTAGTAGGTCCTGTACCTGGAAATAAATATAGTGAAATGGTATTTCCTATATTATCTCCCGATCCAGCTACTAACAAAGAAGCGTCTTTCTTAAAATATCCAATCTATTTAGGTGGGAATAGAGGACGTGGACAACTTTATCCTGATGGTAGCAAGAGTAATAATACAGTTTTTAGTGCTTCTGCTTCAGGAACAATTAAGAAAGTTGTTCGTACTAATATCAAAAAAGGTGGTTACGATATAACCATTATTACAGCAGACGGTAAAGAAGTAATTGACGTTATTCCTCCAGGACCAGAATTAATTGTTTCCGAAGGAGAATCCGTTAAAGTTGATCAACCATTGACTAATAATCCAAACGTAGGTGGTTTTGGACAAGCAGAAACCTCCATAGTACTGCAAGATCCATTAAGAATTCAAGGACTTCTTGTATTCTTTGCATCTGTAATTTTGGCACAGATTTTCCTAGTTCTGAAGAAAAAACAATTTGAAAAAGTACAACTTGCTGAGATGAATTTCTAAGTAAATAAAGTATTGATGTGGAAAACCACAGGAAGCGCTCGATTATCTTTTCTATAGATCGTATGAGTCCTAATCAATGAGCTTAGATCTAAAGCCTCTCCATTTACAACGTGTAATGATGGAGTGCTTAAATATTGAGAGTTTTGAACACTGTTATTTCATTCCTGTTTTGGCACAAACAGCAGAATACTGGGGAGATGCTCAAGTAGCATCTACCTGTAATCTTATGTCACAACAGGTAAAAGAATATTTTGATCATGCAGCTCATGTTCATTTCTATCTAGCAAAACAGCATAGACATTTGAATCAGAATTTCTCTATGCATGATCAGTATTATGGTTTGCTAAATACCATAAAAGTAGAAAAAAGACAAAAAGATCAAAAAATCTCTCAGTATCAAAGTGATATCTTCGATTCTTGTAATGAAACCACTAGAAGCTTGAAATCAATTCATGGAACACATTTTTTTCTAAATAAATACGAAAAAGAAAAAAAAAATATATTGAAATCTTTAGAAGAAATAGACAACAACCTTTGGGAAATTTCAAAAAAAATAGAAGAGAATCTAGAAAGAAAAAATATGCATCATAATATTCAAAAAACTTTCTCCTCAATGCCTAGAAACTTTCTAGATCATGATGATTTTTTTCTACTTTTAAAAATTTTACGACATCGTAAAATTTGGAAATCAACTAGATGGTATCCATTAGTGTCTAAATTAACATCTAATGAAAAAATGTTTCATATATCACGTCTATTTATGCAAATGTCTCAATCGGAGAAAGATATTAGTAGATTATTGATGGAATTAATGCACCAATAAATTTATTGACTATACTGTTTGCTTTGAAATGCAAATATCAAAAGAAATTCCCCAAAGGAAAGATTTTCCCTTTGGGGAATTTCTTGAAGAAGTCCCTTTTATTGAGTAGACACAAGATCAATACATTTCATTTAAGCTCGTTACTCAATTCCCTGGTTAGGATTCTACTCTTAATTATAGGGAAGAACCTAAACCAACATAAGAGCCGTAAAAGAAAAGGCCCACTAGAGTGGTGACAGCAATGCCTGCTACTGTCCCTATAAACCACAACGGAATTCTTCCTGTAGTTCCAACGTTAGACATCTGTTCTACTCCCTTCACATCTGCATTGGAGGTCTTGGCTAAAGATCATTACAGCCACAAGCAACAAAGTAACTAAATACGAATTTTCCAAATGAGGCAATAACCAACTATTATTACTAGTTAAAGAAGTAGCTAGAAAAGAGTACTGCAAGTACAAAAATTAGTAGCAGTCCCCAAAATAAACTAGTACGGTTTAACTCGACGTTTTGCTTGTTCGGGTTTGGTTGTGTCATAATTGTGCGCTTTATAAAGAGCTTACCTTTGAATGAACTGCATTGCTGAGATAGAGCCCAAGAAAAAAACTGTAGGCACAGCTAGCCCATGAACAGCCAGCCATCTAACCGTAAAGATGGGATAAGTTCTATCGATAGTCATTTAATATCTCCTATAGCGATCTGGTAAATTCGTCTAGTTGCTCTAGAGAGTTGAAACGTCCAGTAATTAAAGGAACTTCTTGACGACTCTCTGTAAAGTATTCGTTAGGACGAGGACTTCCGAATACGTCATAAGCAAGACCTGTGCTAACGAACAACCAACCCGCTATAAATAGCGAAGGGATTGTAATGCTATGGATAACCCAGTAACGAATACTGGTAATAATATCTGCAAAGGGGCGCTCTCCCGTATTCCCAGACATGGTTAGCTCCGTGTGTAAAGATAAGACAAAGTATAAAGTTAATAAAGAATGTGAGCTGTTTAGGCTCTTTTCTATTTTGTCTTATCAGGTGGTATTATACTAAGAGTATTTGCAAAACATGCTAAGTAAGTATAACCAAGATACCTTTCGCACAGCAAGGCACTTTGTCCCATTGTCAGTTAATAGTATTTTACAAAAAATACGGTGAGAATATACAGTCACACATAATTCGATAAAAAAAAATATCAACTGACTTGCGACAATTATTAAAAAGAAAAAACTATCTTCTTTTTTTTATAGAATAGGAAAAAGTATGCAAAGTATCTTTCTAGTACAAAAAAATATCAATAGATGATTTTTGTAGAAAAAAATCAATTAGTTAATTGAATTCCATACATTCATACACCAAAGATCTCCTCATTCCTTCCAATCCAGGAGAGGAGATCTCAAAACTAACACTTTATTTTTAGTAAACAAGGGTTCCTGAATTAGAGTTCCTTAGACGATTTCGTCTTGTTCAATGTACAAGAAGAAAGAAGCAAAAGCTACAGCTGGAAATACTAAACCTACCAAAGGAACCAAAATAGAAGGTAGATAGGAAGCGGTCATGGATGTGTTCCCTCATGTAATATATACCTTGTGAGATAATTTATCACAAAGTAAATTCTTGAATATCTAAGATATGAATCTATGTCTAATTTACTAAATAAATTAGTGGACCTAAGAGTCTTCTCTGTATCTCATAACTATTGTTAAAAAATAAGTTCTCAAGTCATACTAGTATTTATATGACTTTTGATAAGAGATACCATCTATATCGAATCGAATTGAGAATAGAAAAACAATCGTTCTATAAAATAAACGCTTTCTGCACTGATAACGTCTAACAGACGATTATATAACAAGTTTATGTAATACACAATCTATTCTGTATTACTATACAAAAAATATATCATTAACATACTATCAACATGTTATTGGGATTTCTTTTGTATTTTTACAAGGAGCAGATTTATAAAGTTCAAACAATTCTCCTAACACACCTTTCAAAATGGCTCTAGGAACAATTAAATCTAATAATCCATGATCTAATAATGATTCAGCTACTTGAAACCCGTCAGGTACTTCCTGTCGTAAAGTTTGTTCAATAACACGTTTGCCAGCAAAAGCAATATATGCTTTCGGTTCAGCAATAATGATATCACCTAACATACCAAAACTAGCAGTAACACCTCCTGTAGTTGGATAAGTAAGAATAGATATATAAAGTAACTTATGTTGAATTTGATGAATTTGTAAAACAGAAGCAATTTTTGCCATTTGCATTAAACTTAGTGTACCTTCTTGCATACGTGCTCCTCCAGAAGCACATACAATAACAAGTGGTAATTTATGTTGCGTAGCATGTTCAATTAATCGGGTAAGTTTTTCGCCAACTACTGATCCCATACTGCCTCCCATAAATTGGAAATCCATCACTCCTAATGCAATAGGAGTACCATTCAGTTCTCCTACACCAGTTTGAACAGCATCTGTCAATCCTGTACGTATTTGATTTTCTTCAATCCGATCTCTATATGATTGTTGATCGAAAAAATCTAATACATCACAAGGAAGCATATCTTCGTCCATAGGTTCCCAAGTACCAGGATCAATCAGGAGTTCAATTCTTTCTGTACTATTCATCTCTAAATGATAGCCACATTCTTCACAAATACGTTGATTTTGTTTTAAAAATCGTACATATAGCATGCTTTCACAATTATCACATTGTGTCCATAATCCTTCGCTAGGATCAGATTCTGGATATTTTGGCTTTGGCGTAGTAAGTAGTTTAAGCCTACGTTTTTCTTCAAACCAATCAACTAATGACATAACTAAAATCCTCCTTGTTTTAATAGAAGCACAGTCAATACTTATTGAGAATAAGCAGAACCGATTGTAATATATTCAGTGTGATATATATATTATTTGCAACATAAACTTATTCCAAACTAACTTACTATTTATGTAAAATAGAAAAAGCAATGGAATGCAATACACCTTTCTTGAATAAAAACGTTCATTTTCCATGAATAAATTGTCTTCCAACTGAGTTGGAAGTATAAAAAAAATATATCCAAGATATCAGGAGACAAGGGGCTAAAATAACAAGGGATTAAGTATCTACGTATCTAGTCACACTTTGGTAGTATAATGGCATAATATAACAATATCAGGAATTTTGAATCGGAAGAAAGTATTAAACAAATCCTCATAGAAGAAGAAATACCACAAAAGGTCTCTTGAATTCTCAATCCAAGAACTGTTGTATTTAAAACCATCGGATGCAAGTAACCAAGATGAATAACTCGAATAAGAAAAATATCAAATGGATATACTTCGCCTAATGAATCATAGGATATCCAGAGGAATTTCTATTACAAGAATATTAGATGAAGTGCAAAGAAGAGTATGTTAACCTTACACAATTGATAGAAATATCCAAAACATTCTATTCAATCGAATAAACATTCCCCTACTTATAACTCTTCCAAAAAATAGAAAAAGAAAAGTTGCTCTATTAGATTAACGTTCAACTTATTATAGATCTCCATTCACAAGGAACTAAAAGCACATAAATTATTATAATAATAAAAGCAAAATATATTGCATATATAAGAACAAATAGAATTGCAGTCTTTATTTTTATAATGTTTATAAAAACAATGTGTCTAGAAATTGGCAGAATAAATAACAATATGTTTTTTTTCTAATGATAAATAGCACTCTGTAATGGGCAGGAAGGGATTCGAACCCTTAGCCTTATAGTTCGGAACCATATGCTCTAATCCATTGAGCTACAAGCCCATTCATAATAAATAATAGAAAAAAAATCTAAAATTTTCTGATTGTTTTTTAGAACCGAAATAGCGACTATTTTAAGATTTTTGAAAATGGGAAGATTTCTAAAAAATAGAAATATCAATTATGTATCCAAGAAGTTATGATAGATTCTTTTTCTGATTCTGATCTATCTTTTCTTAAAAAGAAAAAACACTATTCATAGTATAGAAATAGACAAAAACATTAATGGAAACATGCTTAGCTTAATAAATTGTGAACACTACCAAATAGAAATGGTAGTGTTCCCCGAAGCCAATGTTTTCAACACAGATCCGGGATCTATCAAAAAACTATGAGATAAAGGAATTCAAGATGCCCACTAGGAACACCAAACCAATCCATAGAGAAGCCCCGGAAAAAACTGTATTTTTGCTAGTTGACCAACCATCTGGTGAAGCAAGCACTACAGGCACACCAATCACCAAAAGAAAGGAAAGAATAATTAATGCGAATACAGCTAGTTGAAACAGAATTGTCATGGCTATAATACTCCAAACGTTTTAACAAATTGGATATGCCATACTGCTCAATCTCATAACAACGACTGTTGTGCTATATATAGCAACAACGAGTTAGATTGTGGAGAGCATCACGACTATGTTACTCCTCAGACCTCTTTGAAACTTTAAGTTATACTTTCTGCTTCAAAAACCACTTTTTTCTCTACTAAGAAATTCTATTCAAGAAAACAATGTAAGAATTTGAATAGAAGAAAGAAATTTCCTAGAAACTGATATATCAAGATCTAATATCCTTAAAGTACAAGTTTTCTTTTCTTGCGAGAGAATTTCATGAACGCATGTGAAATAATAAAACACAAAAGCATTAATGTCATATTCTCAAATTAAGCAATATGCTTATTCTCTCTTATTTTGTTATCTCATCACTAATAATATGAACTCTTGATTCTCATGTCAACAAGTTTTGTGATGATTTACAATCAATCCCTTATTTCCGATGACAGTTTCCCTTGAAATAAAAAAGACACATCTATTTCCGTGCCATTTCTCCCCTTCCAGATTTATTTGATCAATAAAAATATTGAATTCTATTTTGAAGAAAATTCCATTTAATATAAGTATATTTTCCGTATAGTCTTATGACAAGAATCTGTGAAAGACATAAATTTATAATATCTTCAAAAAAGATGATGAATTGACTTGAATAGAATACAAAAAATCCAATTTTGCTGATATTGTCTAAATTCTCTATTGAATAATCCTTTTTTTTATTCAAAAAACGATGAATTGATACATTTTGTGCAAAAATGTTCTTTTCAGATTGATCTTTTATTAGAAAGAAAAGAGAGGTTATGCAAGGGCGCAAAGCGCCCCGCATTCAGATACAATACAAACGACAAACTTTGTTGAGAGATCCTAAGAATACTAATCTATTTATTTGATCACTTAGTTTAAAGGATTCATAAATAGAACTGGTTCTGTTTCTCTATCAATTCCTTTTTCGAAACCAGCTGCAGCAGCACGTGCTCTTCCTGCATGCCAAAGATGGGCAACAAAGAAAAAGAAACCTAAAACAAAGTGAGAAGTAGAAAGCCAACTACGAGGAGATACATAGTTAACTGCATTAATTTCTGTAGCTACACCACCTACAGAGTTCAAAGAACCTAAAGGAGCATGAGTCATATATTCAGCAGAACGTCTTTCTTGCCAAGGTTGAATATCTTTTTTCAATTTAGCTAGATCAAGACCGTTAGGTCCTCTTAGAGGCTCTAACCATGGAGCTCTAAGGTCCCAAAAACGCATGGTTTCTCCACCAAAAATAATTTCTCCAGTAGGAGATCTCATCAAGTATTTCCCTAGACCTGTAGGTCCTTGAGCAGATCCGATATTAGCACCTAGACGTTGGTCTCTCACCAAGAATGTGAAAGCTTGAGCTTGAGAAGCTTCAGGACCGGTAGGACCATAAAATTCACTTGGATAAGCAGTATTGTTAAACCAAACGAAGCAGCAAGCAATGAATCCCATTGTTGCAATAGCTCCTAAGCTATAAGAAAGGTAAGCTTCACCAGACCATACGAATGCACGGCGAGCCCAAGCCCATGGTTTAGTTAAGATATGCCAAATACCTCCAAAGACACAGATGAAACCTATCCAAATATGACCACCAATAATGTCTTCTAAGTTATCTACACTGACAATCCAACCGTCTCCACCAAATGGAGATTTCAATAGATATCCAAAAACAACGCTAGGATCAAGAGTTGGATTGGTAATCTTACGAACATCTCCACCACCAGGTGCCCAAGTATCATACACACCACCAAACCACAAAGCTTTGAAAACTAGTAGGAAAGCACCTAAGCCTAAGATAATCAAGTGAATACCTAAGATGGTAGTCATTTTGTTTTTGTCTTTCCATACATAGCCAAAGAAAGGGAATGATTCTTCTAAAGTTTCTGGACCAATCAGTGCATGATATACACCACCGAATCCTAATACTGCAGAAGAAATAAGATGAAGAACTCCAGAGACAAAGTAAGGGAAGGTATCAACTACTTCTCCACCTGGCCCTACACCCCAACCTAGGGTAGCCAAGTGAGGTAATAAGATTAGACCCTGTTCATACATGGGTTTCTCTGGCACGAAGTGAGCTACTTCGAACAGGTTCATAGCTCCTGCCCAGAAGACGATCAATCCTGCATGAGCTACGTGAGCACCTAATAGCCTACCAGATAGATTGATTAGTCGAGCATTACCAGCCCACCAAGCAAAACCGGTGGTCTCTTGATCACGACCACCTACAGCCAAAGTTCCATTAAAGAGCGTTTCCACGTGGTAGAACCTCCTCGGGGAATACAAGGTTTTCATGAGGCTGATCTTGAGCCGCCATCCAAGCACGGATACCTTCATTTAGAAGGATATTCTTAGTATAGAAAGTTTCAAACTCAGGGTCTTCTGCTGCACGAATTTCTTGGGAAACAAAGTCATATGCTCGTAAATTTACAGCAAGACCTACTACTCCAACAGCACTCATCCACAATCCAGTTACAGGCACAAACAACATAAAGAAGTGTAGCCATCGTTTGTTGGAGAAAGCAACCCCAAAAATTTGAGACCAAAAACGGTTCGCAGTAACCATGGAATAAGTTTCTTCAGATTGAGTTGGGTTGAATGCACGGAAAGTATTTGCACCATCTCCATCTTCAAATAGAGTATTCTCTACTGTAGCACCATGAATTGCACAAAGCAACGCAGCACCTAATACACCAGCTACTCCCATCATGTGGAATGGGTTTAGAGTCCAGTTATGGAATCCTTGGAAGAACAAGATAAATCTAAAGATAGCTGCTACACCAAAACTAGGTGCAAAAAACCATCCTGCTTGTCCTAAAGGATAGATTAAGAATACGGATACGAAAATAGAGATTGGGCCAGTAAATGCAATTGCGTTGTAAGGACGTAATCCTACAGATCTAGCAATTTCAAACTGACGCAACATAAATCCGATTAGAGCAAAAGCACCATGAAATGCTACAAAAGTCCACAAACCACCTAGTTGGCACCAACGGGTGAAGTCTCCTTGAGCTTCAGGTCCCCATAGCAACAATAAAGAATGTGCCAAACTGTTAGCAGGAGTGGAAACAGCAGCAGTTAGGAAATTGCAACCTTCTAGATAAGAACTAGCTAGACCGTGGGTATACCAGGAAGTTACAAAGGTAGTTCCTGTGAACCAACCACCCAATGCAAAGTATGCACAAGGAAATAACAAAAGACCAGACCAACCCACAAATACAAAACGGTCTCTTCTTAGCCAGTCATCCATGCTGTCAAACAGACCTTGAGGCTGTTTGGAGGACTTTCCAATGGCTATAGTCATAAATGTTCTCCCATCCAACTATGTAGGTCATTATGAAGCACCATTGTTCTGCCTATTTCCACATATCCATGCATCTATAGGAAAGTTATGCAAATATCTATAAATAATAGGATTTATAAGAAATAATATCCAATCGAGTTCTATCCCTATAGAATCTAGAGATAAAGATTTGGTATACATTATATTGCATCCAGAACTGGTTCGCTTCTCTTTTCTTCTTGCCTTTTGGCACTTCTCTTTCTACCTGAGTCTTGTTAATTAGGCAAGTCCTAACTTGAAGAATATTAGTAAATTGTTTTAAGTATCAGTAGTAAATAAATATGGTAGGATATTCCACATCGTTCTTAAATTTAGAAAATCTTTGAAATATTTACAATATCGAACGTCATTATAACAAACATCTGATCAAAACGTAGCTTTACTTACTTTGAAAACAAAAATCATTAGAAGAATTCTATACAAGAATTCAACTGGTAGGAAAAGCATAGTGTATTTACTTAACTATATTATAGTTGCTCTTCAGCAAATGAACAATTTATTAGATTCCTAGCTTGAAATAAATTCATATTTCTCTTATATATGTCTACTAAAATTATAGGCATAATAGCTTTATTTTAAAAGGATAATATTTTTATTATTTTATAAAAGTAATACTATAATTTATTATTAATTAAAATTTTTAATAAATGTGTTTA